CTAGTCTTATCTAACTATAAAACAGTTTTCAAAACTAGAAAATTAACCTTGACACAATTTTAACCACAAAACTGATTGGATCTGATTAGTTTTCTAGAGTCAAATCCCCAGTAGGGGGCGTGAACAGGCAGCCAATCAATGATTCATCATTGATGTTTTTCTTTCTCTCCCCTCTAATATATATGTAAAGATTATGTGCTTTCTTGAGGGTGGCTTGCTTTAGAAGGGGTCTGAAAGGGGGTATTCCAATAGTGTGTTTACCTAAATGCACAGGAACCATGGACAAGGCTTGCTTAAGGCAAAAATAAGCCTTTTATTAAAGAAGTTCTGTGTCCAGGCCATGACTACCCACCACGAGTATGAAATTAGAAATTTATGATCAGGTTACCCTGAGGTTACTTTCCATAGAAACCATTTCACCTTCATCAGTTGGGTACAGTGGTGTCTGCCAGGATTCTCATAGTAAAGTTACTATTTTCTCCTTTAAAATTACTAAAATGTTTTGGGTGGTATGTTGGGACCATACTTGATTGAATAGTGTCTTCTCAAAATTTCAGTCTACCGAGATCTTAGACTGTGACCTTTTTAGGAAAAAGGGTCTTTGCAGACATAATCAAGTTAAAACGCAGTCATGCTGAATTAGGGCAAACCCTCATCCAATGACGTGTCCTTAGAAAAGGGACATTTAGACAGAGACCTGCAGAGGGAACACCATGTGAAGGCTGAGGCAGAGGCTTAGTGATGCATCTACAAGTGAAGGAACGCCAAGAATTGCCAGAGCTAAGAGGAGCCTGGAGTGTGTTCTCCCTTAGAGCCTAGCCTAGTGGTTCTCAGCCTTCCTAACGCTGCGACCCTTTCATACAGCTCCTCACGTGGTGGTGACCCCCCGCCAGAACATCATTTTCGTTGCTACTTCATAACTGTAATTTTGCTACTGTTATGAGTAGTAATATAAATATCTGTGTTATCCGATGGTCTTAGACTTAGGCGGCCCAGCTAGTGGTTCTTAACCTGTCCGACCCACAGGTTGAGAATCGCTGCTGTAGAGCCCAAGACCATCGAAAAACATATTTACGATTCTGTTGTTTTAAGCCATCCAGTTTGGGGTAATTAAAAAATATACATATTTTTTATTTCAGAGAGGAAGAGATAGAAACATCAGTAATGAGAATCATTGATTGGCTGCCCCCTGCACGGGGTCTACTAGGGATTGAGCCTGCAACGTTGGCGTGTGCCCTTTACCGGAATCAAACCCGGGACCCTTCAGTCTGCAGGCTGAAGCTCTATCCACTGAGCCAAACTGGCTAGGGACAGTTTGTGGTAATTTGTTATTGCAAATCTAGGAAACTATCGATAATACAGAGACTAAGCAAATATCCTTTTCTGCTTAAACCTTAGTCCACTAATTTTAGCATATATTAGTGGGCATCTGTTTGGCTCACAATGTGCACATTATTTTCCACACAGAATTATTCTTGGCCCACCAAAAGAGTGCTTCACTGTTTTTAGGATTTTATTCCAAATTGCTAAGAGCTACCATGATAGGTAGAATTCTGAGATGGCCGCCAAGATTCCCACCACCTAGTGTACATGCTTCTTTTAATAAAATCTTTTGTTGATTTCAGAGGGAATGATAGAAACATTAAAGATGACAGAGAATCATTGATTAGCTGCCTCCTGCACACCCGGGCATGTGCCCTGACTGGGAATCAACCCTGACTTCTGGTTCATAGGTCATTGCAATCCCTGAGCCACACCTGACTATACCTGCTTCTCCAGCCTGGGCTGGACCTGTGGGTATTAGAGGATTATCACTCCTTTATGGCAAAAGGAGTTACTACAAATGTATTTAAGATCTCTAATCACAGGGAAGGTGGGAGTGGGTGGGTGGATGGGTGGGTGGGGAGAGATCAACCAAAGAACTTGTATGTAAATATGCATAACCCAAGGACACAGACAAAAGTGTGGTGAAGGCCTGGGGTGAGGGATAGGAGGTGGGGCCAGGCTAGAAGGGGTGGGTAGGGATGAAAAGGGGAAGAATGTAATACTTTCAACAATAAATATTTTTTTATTTTTTTATTTTATTGATTTTGTACAGAGAGGAAGGGAGAGAGATAGTTAGAATCATCGATGAGAGAGAGTCATCGATCAGCTGCCTCTTGCACACCCCTTACTGGGGATATGCCCGCAACCAAGGTACATGCCCCTGACCGGAATCGAACCCGGGACCTTCCAGTCCCCAAGCCGATGCTCTATCCATTGAGCCAAACCGGTTTCGGCAACAATAAATATTTTTAAAAAAGATCTCATGTAAGACAAAGGGACACCATGTTACACTTTAATGGGCCACTTGATTACCATGTTCACTGAAAACTGACCATGCAGCTGATAAACAGTATAGGGTACCTACCTCTTGAATTGGAATTGTAGGACATATGGCGGCACTTAGGGCATATACTTCAAGGCAAATGGCTGGGTGAAAAGATTACTCTTGGGAAGTGGGATAAAAATGCCTATTCTTGGGATAGAACACTTTTCAAATTCTATGCAGGACTTTGAATAGAAACTTGATGAATTCTTAAATTATACTTATTCATGGAAGCCTACCATTGTAGGCAAAGTCCATTAGCATTGCTGGGATCAGATGCTTTCAGAATATCTTAGATTTTGTTTTAACAGGATTTCATTTTTTATGGCTGTACAAAAGAAATTTTACATCACACAAAACACATAAAACTTTAATGCTGTGCCTCTCCCATGCACTATGATGCTTAAAGTTATTAGAAAACATTGACAGGTTTAGCATTTATTATTTCAGTTATTTAGAGATAAACCTAAATTGATAGTATAACATGAAATAATGTGAGTAAACTGAAATGGGGGAATGAATTGATGAATGAGTCTACTTGACTACTCAGCATTTGAATCTCAACATTGCTTGTTGTCTAAAAGACAAATAAATGTAATAACTTTTATTAGGTGATAAAACTGTTTCCTTGTGGAAAATGGATCTGAAAAGAAGCCAACTATTGGTACTAATAATGAAAGATATCCAATAAGTGATGGTTCTTAAAAGACAGGTTGTATATAAATAGTAGGATGTAGTACCCAAGAACTATGATGTGAATAAATCTAATATATGCTCTTCACACTGGGTAAAAAACGAAAAACTGATTACTAATATCTAATGAAATAACTGAAAGCTGCTTTTAGCATTTGAGCTAAGTGTGCATGTGTGTGTCCACATACACAGGACACATTTCTTAGCATTCTTTGCACACACAATGACTATATTACTACTGGAAAAAAACTGTTGACTTAATTTTCAAGTATGTTTCTTGGAGACTAGCAATAGGTTCTCTCAAATTAAGAGTAAAGACACATGGCCATGAAGTGCCAACTCTTAGCACCAGAGAGATGTAAACTTCATAGAATGTGAGTGACATTACAAATCGGAGAATCTGCCAATCTAGTTCTGTGAAATTGCTGTATTTTTCTCAAATGGGAAATAATCCAGATTTATGCCAAATATATTTAAAAAGCTCATCTTTTTCATAGTTGCAATTTATAATCCTATATAAAATAAAATCGCTGCCTTTTGACACAATGCTCAAAGTTTCAGAGATGTGGAAAAAAAACAAAACAAAAAATGAACCAAAAACATAGTTTATATAAATCAAGGTCCCAGGTATGAAAATTAAAAGTAGTCTCTTAGAGAAAGGAATGGTGAAATTCAGTGTGTATTTTCACTAACACTCCCCAAAACTGTTTTGTGGACAGCCAATTTTGACAGCCAATTCTAAACTGCCATCCGATTCCTTTAATCAACATTATTAAATCAAGTCTGAGGCAACACACTGAAAGGACAATATCTGATAGGAAGAGAGCAACTTCCTTCCTTGATAAACACACTCCAGCGGTCATTCAGAAGCTGAAGTTATTTGATGGCTTGGGAGGCAGTGTCCATTGAGCTTTCCTTTCTGACCTGAAGCGACTCACTGCTGATGGACAGTAATTCCCGAAGTTCCTTATTTTCAAGCTGGGGGAGGGGGGAAAGGCATATGTTTATTGCAGGTATTTTGACTGTTTAACTGCATGAGAATACATTGTTTCGGGTCAGGAACAGAAAGCATATTATTTTAATTTTTAAAGTTTTAAGGAAAGAACTGAGAGTTTCCTAAAATACAACTTATTTATTCATTGAACAAACATTTACTGAGCAATTTTTATATGCTACTTTGTTAGAACTACAAAAAAAGAAAAAAGAAAAAAAAGATTCCTCCCCACTAGAGGAATTCACTGCTTATAATACTCTTCCGGTTCCCCAAGTTTTGCTACTGTTTCTTCTATCTTTCAGATCCCTAACTGTACTTTCACTCCGCTCAGTCTTCTCTCCTGTATGTCCTAAAGGGGGAGAAGAAACTAGCCTCCTACCCAGCATCCACTCGGATGTCTTACATACATTATCTCTCAACCATCTGTAGGGTAGGTACCATTGCCTGTATCCATCCTCTCTTTAAAATGAGGACAACGTGGTTCACAAAAGTCCAAAAATCTGTCCAAACTCAGATACTTGGATTTGGTATTGCTGAGATTTACATCCAGTGCCATGCTTTTTCCACTTAAAGTGTTAAGTAAAATTTGTTTCCTGAGGGCTCTTTCCATAACTAAGGAGAAAGTAGACAAGGTTGTTCTATCATCTGAACTAACTCCTAATTCCTACTTGGAACCTTGTCTCTCCCTGTGCTTTCCCGATAGGGCCGTTAGCACTCTCTATCCTTATTCTCTCTGCAGGAAATTCCGGTTTTCAGGCAAGAATCAGAGCTTATGGTCATTAATCTTCTACCATATAAAGTGCTTTCCTCGTACTTTGTATCGCTTACCTGGCATTTATATAACATTTCATATCTTACTGGAGGCCCGGTGCCGTGCACCGGAGGGGTCCCTCGGCCTGGCCTGCCCTGCCCTCCTGTAATCTGGCCTGGGAGGGACCATAGAACGAAAATAGCAACAATCTTACCTCTAATTGGGCTAGTTTTTCCTGAATCTTACAAAATTGGTCATCATCCACCTGAACTGCTTTCCTCATCACTTCTCCCATTTCACAGATTCTGTCGATCTGACTCTCGATTTCCTGTGAAGATAAAACAAAAAAGGTGAAAAGTCACCTTTTCTGCAGATAGGAAGCTCATGAGAATATGTCCGTTATGATGTTCAAAGGTTAATTTAATCTATGCTACAGAGGTTACACAGCCAATTCACCATGTCTGAGTCCCAGAGGTAAAACCATAATAAAGTTATCCTGTGGTATTCACAAATAATTTTTCAAAAGACAGATTATAGTCTAACCACCCATTGAATTTTAGACAGCATCTCTAAGGAGCCTCTAAACGTGAATACTTTTATTGGCAAGAAGGTCAATACATTCAAAAGTACCTTATTCCATCTTTGGGCTTAGCTTTTTTTAATTTTTACTGATTTTTGGAGAGAGAGGAAGAGCGAGGGAGAGAGAAACATCAATGTAGAGCAGAACACTGATCGGTTGCCTCCTGCATACTCCCCCACTGAGGATGGAGCCTGAAACCCTGGCACGTCCTCTTAATTAAACCAGCAACGTTTTGGTGCACGTGACCTCACCCAACCAACGGAGCCACACCAGCCAGCACTGGACTTGTCTTTTAACACGTTTTTCATATGAACTAAAATCTGTTTCCTTCAAGGTTCAAATTTTCTCCTCTAAAGAAAATAAAATGTTATCTTTCTTGCCCTGACTGGTTTGGCCCAGTGGATAGAACATCAGCCTGCGGACGGAAAGGTCCCAGGTTCTGTTCCCATCAAGGATATGTACATTGATTGCGGGCACATCCCCAGTACGGGGTGTGCAGGAGGCAGCTGATCAATGTTTCTCTCTCATCATTGTTTCTAACTATCTCTCTCCCTCTCTGTAAAAATTCATAAAATATATATTTTTTAAAAATTTATCTTTCTCTTCCATAAGAAAACTATTCACATATTTGAAGCATCGCTGTTCCCTAAGACTTAAGTCAGTAAAATGCTTTCAGTGGAATCTAGGATGAAACTTTTCCTAAATTTCACTGCAGCAAATAGTGAGGCACTAATCTATTAATACATGATTAAATGACACAGTACATGTGAATATACAAGGACAACCATAAAGCACTCTACAGACAGACGAATAATTACTGGGTCTCCCAAGTTCAATCATTATCAACCGAAGTGTAGAAACGATGCCTTGTATATGCATTTTTAAACCATACTTTTCTCTCCTTATGAGCACGATGTTATGTGGTTCAGTTTAATAAAAGTTTCCTGACTGCCTGCTATGTGCCAGGTACTATGCTAGGGATAAAAGATGAATGTATGCTCCTTACAACCAAGGAGCTTACAAGTTAGTAAAATGTACAATCATAACCAATCAAGTATTTCCTGAGCCCTTTGACACTAGCTAGCATTATGTCTGGTGGGAGGACTAAGCATTCGTTAGTATCTGGAGAGACCTTGGTGAGGGAGAAAGGATCCTTAATCCTATTCAAATGAAAGAACATGAGAGCCTCTTACCCTCTTCGTTTTATTCAAAGCTTTTTCTTTTCTATCGATTTTTACAAAGAGAAAGCGAGAGGGATAGAGAGCTAGAAACATCGATGAGAAAGAAACATCGACCAGCTGCCTCCTGCACACCCCCTACCGGTGATGTGCCCATAACCAATGTATATGCCCTTGACCGGAATCGAACCTGGGACCCTTCAGTCCGCAGACTGACGCTCTATCCACTGAGCTAAACCAGTTTCGGCTGATTCAAATCTTTACAAAGCTACAGCAAAAGCAGCAGTGAATGTGATAAACACGAAAGGAAAAAAAGCTTACTTCTCTTCAAAAAGGCATACAAGGTAACACAGTTTTAAGATTTCAATTCAGTTCATTTAGAATTTAAAAGCTTTTCTTACTGCAGAGTGAGTCTGGTGAGCCTTCAGGACTGGTTCAGCATCCACTGCTTTCTTAACAACCATTAACTGTAACATCTGTTTGCGGTATTTGCTCATGATGAGCTCCAAAGCATCCTGGTGTTCCTCCAAAGACACCCACAGTTCTGTCAGAAAATAAAACAGCTTGGCAGTGATGTCCGAGAGAGCTTTCAGAGCCAAACTCTTAGTGGAATTTTATGGCACCCCATGAGATATTGTGATTCCAAGTCATTGCTTATGTCCACAAAATACAACAGTTAAGGTCAATGTGGAACATAACTCTAGGCAGAGGCAGCACAGTTTGGTGGGAACATGGGATGTGGAATCAGAAGGCATGGGTGTGAGCTCAGTTCTGTGAGTTATTAGGTAATATTCTTAAGCAAATCATTTAACCTCTCTGAGCCTATTTCGTATCATAAACCTCAATGTGAAAACAGAATACAATGGGATGATAGATGTGGAAGCGCTCTGTCAACTGACGTACAAATAACTGTTCATACTTCTATCATCAATAACGCACTTGTCAAACCTAAAAATAGACATCCTGAGTATAAGATTCAGCTCTTCCACTTTGTACAAGAACATAAGCTCTTCAATCTTAACTTTAGTACATTTGAATATTTAAACTTTACAGTTGAATCCCTAAAGGATATTAACTCTCATTCACCTCTACTAAGCACTCTTAGATAAGCTGCCTATAAATACAGACAACCTTGAAAAGGGTAATGTAGCAAACTTTATTTTCCTGCACCAGCACAGGGTCATTGTTACTAAAAGTACTGACTTGGAAATACACACAACATATGCACTTTAGTAAACGGTTGGGCAGTTCTGCACCAACTTTCGCAATGTTATTCCTGGGGATGAGAACATCACAACTACTACACGAGGCCTGACTAACCTCTGTTTTCCTGCTGCAGGTCTCTAATCTGCGTGTTCTCCTGGGACAGCAGAATGTGAGGTTTGTACTTGGACATGTCCTTCAGATCGGATGCATCCTCCTGATACTGGACAGACAGACAGACTGAGCACAGGTGCAGCCGAGAGGGCAGGAGGCAGGGCCCAGGGCGGCGAGCTCAGCCCCGATCCCGCAGAGAGGTTCTCCCCGCCGCCCCCCAGACCCTCCGAGACCAAGAACTGGACCTCGCCCTCCACCCGTCCAGAGCCCAGAACCCGAGGCCCGGAGCCCTCCCCTCCGCCGACCTGGTCCGGAAGCGCCGTCCCCGCCTCCCGCATCGCGGCCACCCGCCGGTGCAGCGCCGCCGACTGGTCCACCAGCGACTCGGCGGCCGCGTCGTGCTCCCGCAGCCGCTCCAGCAGCGTCTTGGCGTCCGTCAGGATCTTCTCGATGGTGCAGCTCATCGCGACCGCGGCGCAGCCCGGCGGCTCCCCGAGGCCGGCGCTCAGGTCCTCCCGAGCCCGGCCCGGCGCCGCGGACGTCACTTCCGGTGCGCTTAGCAGGCCCGGCCGCCTGCGCCTGCGCAGTGCCCGCCGGGCCGCCGCTGTCACCGGCCCGCGGCCCCGCCCGGCGCGCAGGAGCCGCCCTTGCACGCCCTTGGCTTCCCGTTCCCGCGGCCGGTGGGCGAGTGTGGATTTGCGGGGCAGGTGGAGTTTCTTTACCGTTTTGTTTTGTTTTGTTTTGTTTTAGGGGATGTTTTCTACAGGCGGGGACAGTGAGACCAGGAAGGCTTTGGGACGGAAGCAGCAGCAGGAAAGCCCGGGCTGGCAGGCCGGGTCTAGAGATGCCGGAGGAAAGACGGGCGGGGGCGGGCTGCTCTGGCTCCGAGAAGCCGGAGGAAAGGGGGCCTCGGGGTCCGGCTCAGGGGCGAGCCCAGCGGAGCTGCTGCTGCCCACTGCTCCCCTGGTGGTCCGTCTCTGGGCACCAGAGAGGGATGCTCGCCTGAGAGGGCGGAAAAGCAGGGCCCTCTGCCCTATACTGGTTTTGGTTGACCTGCGTTATTATTTTTTTTTAATTTAGATTTTAAAAATTGTGATAAAATACACCACCTTAACCATTTTTAAATGTACAGTTCAGTAGTCTGACGTACATTTATAGTGTTATGCAAGCATCACCACCACCCATCTCCAGAACGCTTCTTGCAAAATTAAAACTGTACACATGAAACATTAGCTCCCTAGTCTGCCCTCCTTCCAGCCCCTGGCAACCACTAGTCTACTTTCTGTCTCAGAATTTGACTACTTTAGGTGCCTCATATCAGTGGAGTCATACAAATTGTATTTGTCATTTTGTGACCGGCTTATTTCCCTTGGCATAATGTTCTCCAGTTCATCCATGCACATCACAGTTTCCTTTTTTTTAAGGCTGAAAATATTTCATATCACATACACACACACACATACACACACACACACACATACACACACACACACACACAGGAATATTGTAATGAATACAATATCATAGATTGAATCACCCTATGAGCCTTTTTCTGCTCCATACCTATAGATCAACCCCTTTAGCCAGCAAAGTGCATGAACTAGAAAAAAAAACTCCAAGAACATGATCAATTGATGATCAGCCTCTACCATCATTTATTTTTAATTTTTATTGATTTCAGAGAAGAAGTGAGAGAAGAGAGATGGAAGCATCAATAATGAGAGAGTATCATTGATCAGCTGCCTCCTGCACGCCCCCTGTAACCCTGGGCATGTGCCCTTGATCAAAATCAACCTGGGACCTTTCTGTCTGCAGGCTGATGCTCTATCCACTGAGCCAAACCGGCTAGGCCGCAGTGGTCGGCAAACTATGGTTCGTGAGCCAGATGCGGCTCTTTGGTCACTTGAGTGTGGGTCTTCCACAAAATACCACGGCTTGGGCGAGTCTATGTTGAAAAGTGTCATTGGAAGAAGTTTAAGTTTAAAAAATGTGGCTCTCAAAAGGCATTTCAGTCATCGTCCTGTTGATATTTAGCTCTGTTGACTAGTGAGTTTGCAGACCACTGGGTTAGGGCAAGGGTGGAGCATTTTTATTTTATTTTTTAAAGTATATTTTATTGATTTTTTCTTTTACAGAGAGGAAGGGAGAAGGATAGAGAATTAGAACATCGATGAGAGGGAAACATCAATCAGCTGCCTCCTGCACATCCCCTACTTGGATGTGCCTGTAACCAAGGAACATGCCCTTGACCAGAATTGAACCTGGGACCCTTCAGACCACAGGCCGACACTCTATCCACTGAGCCAAACAAGTCAGGGCAAGAGTTAGAATTTAATTTTAAATCTATAATAATTTTGTTTTTTAAAACTAGCTGAAAAAGTTTGCTTGTGCAATTTTTAGTATACCTTAAACTAAGAAATATATTGTGCATTTTCCCATGCCCCTTTTCACTTAACTAAAAAATAAGTAGGATAGAAAATAATGCCCCTAAAGGTGGCTTGATTAAATAGGAATATGATTTTTATCAGTTGTAGACCTACATACATGCAACTGCAAACTCTGCTTTTCACATCTCTGGATAAAAAATCTTGTTAAAATAACAAGAATTAAGATAACTATGTCAAGAAAAGTGCTTGCTGTAGGTCTTCAGGATTCTTTCCTAATAAATTGAAAACAATAACAAAACTACTACAATACTCCTATAATTAGCTGCAGCAGTTTTTAAAGAGCTATTACTGTGCCCTAACCAGTTTGGCTCGGTGGATAGAGCATTGGCTTGCGGCCTGAAGGGTCCCAGGTTCAATTCCAGTCAAGGGCATGTATGTTGGTTGCGGGCACATCCCCAGTAGGGGGTGTGCAGGAGGCAGCTGATTGATGACTCTCTCTCATCTATGTTTCTAACTCCCTATCCCTTTCCCTTCCTCTCTGTAAAAAAAAAAAAAAAGAAATAAAGAAAAATATCTATATCTATATCTATATCTATCTATCTATCTATCTATCTATATATATATATATATATATATATATTTTAAAGAGCTGTTGCTTTGCCCAGATCCTATTCTTTGTTTAAATTTTGTTTGACAAGTATTTTATAAATGATTAGAGGAGGTGGTTTCTGTTTAATTAAGTTGATAATGGTTAATTATTAAAATGGAGTAAACAGTTCAAAACTGGATTAAGAATGAAAAGCAAATGGTCCAGCCATACTAAATGTGATTTCCTTTTACTGTTAAAAACTTCAAAATTTTAAAACACTTGAGAAAAAGCACACAACCCTCTATCTTGTAACTTTATTTCTTACAGTTTTGTTTAGAATGAAAAGCCATGTCTAGTGTTTTTTTTTCAAATTCAGTGAAATAGCTCCAAAACACAAAATGGAATAGACATTCTTTCTGGTTGCTTAATGTGAACTCTAACTGTAGAATTCATAGTTCTTCAGATATTCTAAATACTAGACCATTTACTAGTAACTAGACCTCAATACTAGCTATATGATGTGCAAATATTTTCTCCTCTTCTGTAGATTTTCTTTTCTTTTTTTAAAAAAATATATCTTATTGATTTTTATACAGAGAGAAAGGGAGAGAGATAGAGTTAGAAACATCGATGAGAGTCATCGATCAGCTGCCTCTTGCACACCCCCTACTGGGGATGTGCCCGCAACCAAGGTACATGCCCTTGACCGGAATTGAACCCGGGACCCTTCAGTCCCCAAGCAGACGCTCTATCCATTGAGCCAAACCTCTATCCATTGAGCCAAACCGGTCCCGGCTGTAGATTTTCTTTTCATCTTCTTGGTGATGTTCTCTCATGCACAAAAGTTTTGATGATGCCCAACTTTTCTGGATAATTATTTTAATCCTCTCCTGTTAGATATATTCTATTACAAGGTTGTTCCTTTCAATAATCTCACTAAAAATTAAACTAAATAGCTCCATCACATTAAGACAACTCTATTATTTTAATATGGTTATATCATCTAAACACATTTTTAAATTTTTTATTTTATGATTTTGGAGAGAGAGAGATAAAGAGAAAGAAACATTCATTCTTTGTTCCACCCATTCATGCAATCACTGGTTGATTCTTATATGTGCCCTAACCAGGGATTGAACCTGCAACTTTGGCACATAGGAAAGACTTCTAACCAACTGAGCTACCTAGCCAGGGCCACATTTTTAAAATGATGCTGAATAGAATATCATGATTACATGAAGTCCTTTGGAAGAGTGTAACTCACAAACTATAGTATAATCTTACCTAATAATAGGCAAACATGTAAGTTTATGGTTTCATTCCTAGAATTGCCTTACAGGGATACAGGGATGAAACTATAAACCTGGTATTCAACAGTCTTTGTTTATGTGACGTTTAAAAAATTAAGTTATAATGAAGTTATAACTTTTCTAGCTTTGCTGTGAAGGGGAACAGAGAAGTGGGGTGGTATCTAGATTGGGTTGTTAGGTTGTAGATTTTCCTGTTTTATTTTATTGTCTTAACATGAAGTTGTAGGCTATGTAAGATAATGGCAATGATCTCAGAGAAGAGAGAGATTAATGATCGGGGCCTATCTTGGGTGGGGCTGGCTGGGGCTAGGGGCTGTGGGCGGTTGGGTTGTGGGGGCTGATCGGGGCCCTGATCAGGCTGGTTGGCCACCGCAGCACATGTCTGGTCGTTCCATCATTCTGGTCGCTTGGCGTGTGTGTGTGTGTGTGTGTGTGTGTGTGTGTGTATGTATATATATATATTACATGCTAACTCACTGAATTTTCATTGGGTTTAACTCTGCTACCTACTAACTAAGAGAACTTGAACAAGGAGTAGTCTCTATTAGTTTGGCAGTTTTTCTTGGCCAAAAAATGAGAGGGTTGGACTATATGACTTATACACATCTCACATTGTACCAGTTTATGTTTTGTTTGTTATTAATACTTCTGTTTGGTTTTAACATTTTTTTTTTGTAGCGAATGAAAAGTTAAATTGTTATAGCACCTGTATTAGCGGAATTTGAACTGAGGTATTTTTATTCCTGTGTATATTAGTAGTTTGTAGAAGCCCAATATTTTGTAACCAAAGTGGGAAAATGTCAAATTCAATCAAGAAAACAAAATATTTATTAAGTAAAAAATAAGGAACTCTGGGAGAATGTGACCTAAAGATCTCAAAGGCTTCTATCCTCATGATCTGGCTATTATTTGATTTATGTAAGCTTGTAACTGCCCTTGTTTTGATCCTGAGAGGACTGGGTTGGAAGTTGTCTCAGAGATAGAGCTGAATCATTGCTCTGCAGAGTGTCTGGAGCCTAAGGGTATGCAAAGTGCCCATCTGCTCCCTAATAAACAAGGAAAAGGTCAGTTAGCTCCATCTGGAAAGCTGAAGCCATTGCTGAATCTGTCTGTATATATTCTGCGAGGAAAAGGACTGTCCCGTCATTTCATGCAACTATGAGTATGCTCTTTTAAAAAATAAGAACATTTTATTTTATGCCATCTAAATTAAACTATTTTAATTTTTTTGCAAAGTTGATGTTTCTCTCTCTTCCACTCTCCT